ACCCTATCAATAACCCCAACCCTATCCCTAACCATTATTCCTAACCCCATCTCTAACCCTAACCCTATCCCTAGACCTACCCCTAACCCCAACCCTAACCCTATCCCTATCTCTAACCCTAACCCTATCCCTAACCATTATCCCTAACCCTATCTCTAACCCTAACCCTACTTTTTACCCCAACCCTAACCCTATTATCCTTAACCCTAGCCCCAACCCTTCCTATCCCTGACTGGGAAAGCGTGGCTGTTGTGTTTGAATATGGGAATGCTTATTACCGTGAAAAAAAAACAAGCATTTATGAACCCTTGGAAGATCAGAAAGCCACCCGGGGTGAGATAGAAAGCTGTATGAATGAAATACGGCACCACGTCACGAGGAGAACAGCACTTGTGATGAAGAGCATTCTAGTGGTCCTCCGCTGCAGAACTTCGGCACCGACCCGTCGTGGGGCTTGTCCTGCTATCCGTTTTGGCTCTGGGCAGGCGAGTGACCCGTCTCTGTCAGTAGCCGTTCCCTCGGGAGAACTGATTCTTCAGAGTAGTTCTGGCAGTTCGCCTCGTTCGATTAGGGACAGTAACCGCCTGGCAAGAGGTGCTTGGGGTGAACTACCTTTCGTCGAGCGGCATGGTCGCAACTCTTTTCTTATCAATCCCAAGTGTGTTATATAAGGTTCGGTAGAACTTGCGCCTCGCACATTGGACTTGGTTTCTTTGACAAGTTGGATGTTGGCTGTAGAGCTGCAGGTACTTGATTGATTCGTCGTCCAAAGGCTGGTCTCGACAGTGTTGTCAACGAACGTTTTCAATCGGTTGATCAATAGATGATGACGCGCCGTTTTCGACAAGTGACATAATAATCGACTGAGCCGGTAGCGGTGCCACCGCCCATTTCGTATCAGGCTTGACGACAGGAGTTCGTTCACTGATACTATCTGGGTGTTGTGGAATGGTACCGACACCGATGTGCCCATAAATATCAACACTGTTATCAGCACAGTCATATATGAAACTGTGAAAAAGGCTAACCTGTCATTAATGAATGTTTGCGATACTGTGGTTACCAGTGCGATGAAGGCGGGCGCAGTTGTTTCTACCGACAATGGCAAGGTGGCAAACACTGCTATCTTACTCCGTCTTGGAGTGAAATATCGCCTCCGTGAACGACATAATTCAGTCGTAGCGATCAGCTGCAGTAATGGCAGTGATCAGTAGAGATTCATTCAACACCAAAGTTTCAAAATTTGCCAACGCGTTTGCAAATGAGGCAGAACCGTCCTCACCGACCAAATACATTGCACTAGTTAAGCAAATGATCGGGAGTCGAACAGGCAGACGGAGAGATCGGCCAAGGCTAGGGCCATGATCAGAATATGGGTGCCGGTCTTCCTTCTCTTGGTCCAGTAGACGCGGAGGATAAGGCAGTTACCAGGCACTCCGAGTATCACAACAAAGAGCTAATTATTAGTAGGAACATATTTATCTCTGCTGGTGAAGAATTCTTCCCCTATGAATGATTGCATGGTCTTGGGAGGACCCAACGCTTGCCGAGTTGGGTGCTTCAATGAGATCCATCGTGCAGGCCATTAAGAACTAATTATCCTAACACAGGACAACCTAACTCAACGAAACAATCTGAACCTGGTCTGTAGAATGCGTCGTTTGAGCGGGACTGTGTGTCCACTTTCTACCGCGCAACTTACATCCATACCCTATATATGACAACGCGCACGACAACGCCTCACTTCTCGCCGATTGAGAATTTTACTCAAACGAATATTGGAGATTGAAGGTAAACATACACTACAGACGCCAATAAGGGTAAACAGAATTTGATGAGTTACCTAAGCTACAGCTTGAAGTGTCAATCGCTGAGGCAATGCCTGTTTGAAAAACAACGTAGTCTTTACATCGACCAACGGCTGTTACGACCTTAATACAGCCACAATAATGGCGTCTCAGATCGGTTGCTCCGCCAGAGCATCATGTCAAGTGCCACTTTCAGAGATGTGCGATCTGGAAATGGCCGTCGATGACATGATTGAAACGAACTTACCCAAGCGGATGACATTCATCAGTCCGAAGATAAGACAGTCTTAATTATCGGACCAATTTGGAAAAAGGTAGCTTAAAGGAAGGGCTTACGCTGAGTCGGCAGCAGCAGGCTTTTCAAGGTTGGAGAAAGGGCGGGGAAACGCAGTAACCATAAATGCACTGTGTGCATAATACATTAAACACCACCCTACAATATAATTATTACAATTGTCATTCAACGGTGTATTGATTGGGTGCATTAAAAAAATCAAAGTCAAAGTAACTATTTGATTCAGCTGTCCCTAAAGTCATTAAAATTAGCGGTTCTATGTCCAACAGTCATGCTCCCGGAACAGACTAAAATTTGGGCTTATGGCTGAGGTGCACAAGCAAGTGACCCATAGAATCTGTATGACAAGGCAAAATAAGGGGGAGGCGAGGGGACACGGCCATACCTGTCCCATGTACGCCAAACACATGTATATTGGGGGGATGTGTTCCCCACCCCCAAGATCACCGTCCGTGTGTTGACTGCTAAATTACTCATTTATTTTCCCTAATGAGATATGCATTCAAAGGATTAAGACGCATTGAATGATGTGTGACGAAAGTATTTCTCAACTTTTACCTTGCTTAAAACTTTAAATGAATCAAAACGAATATTCTGTTTTTTTCTTTTTTGGCAACGGCAAACGAACCCCTCGCTAAGTGGAGACCTCTACCAACCCGTCAGTGGATTTGAGGTCGATACCCAAGGAAAAATTAAAGCTTTAAAATTTTGCCGCCCCCACCCAGTATTCAGTATCAGCAAAATTTATTTGGAAACAGGCATAACGACAAATGATGGCAGCGGAGGGATCCGAACCCACGCCATCGAAAATGCACTGGACAGCCAAAGAAACTTGCCACTTCTGTCAAAGGCCACACATAAAAATTCACTCCATCGAAATAAACAATTTTTGTACACAGGTATGCTGCAATACCCCCTTACTAATCACATGCCCCAAAGCAAGTGAATATCTTGCTATTTCTATGGAGTGAAATTTTATGTGTGGCCTTTGACAGAAGTGGCAAGATTCTTTTGAAGTTTAAAAAATTGGACCATGGTGAAACGCTTCAATGTTACTTGCTAGATCTAATTTTACAAGACCAACATTATGGTATTAAATGGCAGTAGGCCTACATGTAGTGAGCTACAAGCTGGTCTCCAATGAAGTTGGTCTTTTCTAGCCTCTGTGATAAGCACTTGGAGAACTTTTTGATGTTTGGTAATGGACTGAAAATTGCAAAAAGTAATCTGCACTCTGCAAGGCGGAGGACACACTGTACAAGGTTCCTAACCTCAAGCTGGACCCAAAACGTGACACAGAGTCCATAAACAGGTATCCCAACACTGTTTATACGTCAACCAACAGAAGCATAGACAACTGATCGATGATTAGGCACTTATTTTATTATCTTATTGCCGAATTACCGTATACAAGTTTGTGTTATAATCCCATTAGTTTGTTACTATCTCCCTGGCTCTTCATTCCAACCATTTTCATGCCTATATTTATGACCACCTCAGAAAACTAATGGTTTTTGTACTGGAAAGAAACTAAACACGAGAGGCAGAAATGGTCAAGTAATGATTTCAATTTTACGAAACAGTGATTTTGATTGACTCTTTACTTCTTTCAAATAACCTCGAGGGAAATAAGATTTATCTTTTCACAAAAATAATGATTTCAGTATCTCGAGAATGAGTTTCCAAGCGTTACTTATTCTTGAGCCTACCCATGACACACACAATTATTGCATTACGATCGCTCAATTTTACAAAGCTGTAACGTAACCAAAACAATGAATACCATTTTCTTTTGCAATAAGTCACAGGCAAAACCTGATATTAAAATTAACATGTCCTCGACCAGTCGACGCAAAGTACATCTTGAAAATTCACACACCAATCATTAAAAAAGGATTAACGCAACAACTTGTAAGTCTGAAGTGAACACAATGTTGATTTCACTCACCACCAAAAAAACTTTTACTACCACCCACTCCTGCTACCCATTTAGTGAACTCTTCAAAAGTATATTAGAGTTACAAACTGAACTGTTTACAATTTGCCTCTTGTTAAATCAAAATAATTTCTGCAGGTTTTTTTGTGGTGCGAGTAAATGGTGTTAGCTAATGTGCATGGAATGGTTTTTCACTGTGCATCGATAGTCGAGACTAAACTCTTGAAAGCAGTTCTAAAATTTTGTCAGGTCTTTTATACAATGAACAAGAAAAGTCTCCAAAATTATGCTTGCACGAATGCAAGATCACATCTCTCTTTATTTGGTTTTTCTTTCTTTTGAAATAATTATTTACCTTCAAGGCATTTTGCAACAAATCTGGAGTGGTTTTTCCTCTGTGAAGTGATAACCCAAGGATTAAAAGAAAACTCTACAGATTTTCTGCAATCCACATTCTTGCAATCGTCCTAGTTTCTAAGACTTTTCCTGCGCAATGGACTTCGGTGGGGGTTTTCCAATCTCCTCTAAATTTCAAAGCAAAGATAAACTGTGCTATAAATAAACAATGCTCTTATGTCAGCTACTGAAAATGCAAAAGCAACCTAAAACTGAGAAACAAAAGTTATTTCTTTTAATGAATGATTGTCAAAAGTGAAATTCTGATTAGTTGACAAAGCAGTACTCAAATGCGAGTCTCAAGTCCATTGTTTCTCCAACAAATATGTACCTGATCTACAAATTAAGGCACTATGGACATGAGACCTTAGTGCTGATTTTGTACAGCCTACAATCAAACGGTTTCCAGTCTTTGGCTTGACCTTGGTCATGGCATATGACCTTTTGACCTGAGGTTTCTGTGAAATTCAAACAACTTCCTCATTCAAAGTTACTGTAATGCAGCCTGTGAGTTTAATGGCGATGTGGCAGTGAAGAAACAAAAAGAAAAGCCTCAACAAAAATAGCAAAGAAAGCGTGATAAAGGAATTCCGGAATGGTGCATTGCCGTGACTACACCTCGTCTAGTCCAGATGATGTCAACTGGCAGAGTCCTCCCTTGTTTCACCTTGCTCATCATCTTCCTCCTCGCTGTTGGGGATGAACAGATCCTCCTGGAGTTGTGCCATAAGATGCCGCATGCGACCCTGGAGAGAGGACAGTGAAGAAAGGTGTCACTAGCCAAGTGAGCTATCATTCACAATATAGTGCACACAAACCCTACCCTCTCCTCCCGACTTAGCAGTTATATCCCTGTCAGAGTCTCCTCACATCCCAGACAAACGCTACCTCATCCAGCCTGTCCTTGTTGCGAAGGATGTGCGAGTCAAACACCTGCTTCAAGACCTTATTGGTGAAGATGCCCCGATTCAGGACGTCATTAGTTACGTCCGTTACAAACTCTAGGTAACGGAGTTCCTCTTCCCTATAATGACAACAACCAGCAAACAAGGAAAATCAAAATGCGGTGAAGGAAAATAAGTAGACAATTTTCAAAACAGAATATTCTTAAAATTACAAGAGGTTTTAAAAATTAGCTTCATCTCATCTACTTCAACATTCTAATTTTAATGTGACTTCACATACACCCTAAGGGATCAGGGTCAACCCATGTTTTCACTACATACATGTAGGTATCTCATACCAAAATTTATGTGGAATTTTCTCTTTTTTGGCAAATTAACCAAACCTTTCAGACTAAAAAAACCAACATGCATGACTTACTCATCCTTCATCCTTTTTGATATCCTGGAAGGAGGTCGGTCGGACAGATTGCCAGTGCTAAAAATAAACAACAAATGAAAAATGGCTACATATTGACAAGTTGTTGATTCATGCAGAGGAAACCAAATACATGTAATGGAAACATTTTGTTGAGTGTGACAGGTTTCAACATGATTAATAAGAGTAACAAATTTCTTCAATGAACTATGCACCATTTCAGGTGTCAAAGCTTTGAAGGTACAATCCCACATTTCAAGCTGTCCATAAAGTAATTGGTGAATTAATGTTGAAAAGCAATTTTGGTTTGAAGATAGTTATGGAACTGAGCTCCTTGTGAAATGATGTTTTTAGGTAAGCTGTCACTTTGAAGAAAGTGATAAAGGAAAGTCATTTCCAACAAAGTGTCAGAGATGCGTTATTGGAAATTGCAGTTCAGTGGTTCATTTTAAAGTTGGCAAAGCGTGCGCAAGCATTGATAGGGTGCACATGCCCATGTGGTTGCTATAATTCATTGGTTCAATGCACAACATCGCACAGCTGGTGCAATTGAAAACTTGACTCTCTTACTTTTGATTTAAATCTAGATCCAATAATAGTGCTTTTCTTGGAAAATACAACATTCACTAAGCATAAACTTCATAGGCTAGCTGTAAAACACCCGTCTTAGATTTTGAACACTTATGCTTCCCCACACGATAATTAAGGATAAATGACAGACTGTACCTCTAATGTCAATGAATATACATTGAAAATAGTACACCCAATGTAATTTTCAAGGAAATTTATATGTTAATTTCTTGACCTTGTCACTTTTTAAATATCTACACTGCTTGAAACTAAGACACGTCATACCTATAAAATGGTCGTTGATATGACCGAGATAAATTAAGGTCCTGCCCCTCCTCTATCTCCACATCTCCATCCTCCCTGGACAGACCTCCTAACCGTAGTGCCTCCACCCTCTTGGCTTGGTCCTCCACCCATCTGACATGATCGGGGTTGCGTTTCGGCAAGTCTTCAAAATCTTCCTCCCCCTCCTCCTCCAAGAGGCTGTGAGCATCAGGAGCAAACATGAAAGCCATGACAAGATGTTGGTATGTTGTGGTTTCTCACACATTATCAGGCAATCAAACACATATTATTGGGTGATCAAAATACTTAGCGTTACCCCTGATCAATGAGCTCAGTCACTCCAGGACAGATCTATCAGAAGCATAACAGAATAAATCCTTTTCTCTCCAACCTTTCCAAAATTTAAAGTTTGGATTGGTCTTGAACAATTGTTTGAAATTTCGATAAACACTGACCCAGGTCTAGGGCCTCCTATTTTTCAACCATCTAAAAATCCTCTTACAAACTTACGGAACTATTGAAAATGTTACAAAAATGTTACAACTTGTGTCAAACGTTTTCACTATACTTTGCAGAAGGGAAAAGGATTTATCCGTAACATTTTCTGTAATCTCCTTGTAAAGGATGGATTATTTTTTTAATCTGACACAGTCTTATCTTTTCAACTAAACAACTTATTTTGCAGCCATACATGTACTTTCTGTTCATTTAGTAATCATTTGTTGGATAACAATACCGAACTTGAAAGAATGCAGTGACAAGACAACTGGTTAAACCTACCCGTTTTCGTAATCTCGAATAGTCTGCTCATATTCAATGTCTTGGGCAACTCCATTCTGCCTCAAGGTCTCTTTGCTCGGTCTCTTTGGTTTGTTGTAGTTCTTTGACTGGGCGAGTCTGGATTGTGCCGTAGTTCTGAGAGTTCTTGGGGTGTGCAGCTTTTCGGGCCTCGAGAGCATGTTGTCCGACATTTTGTCTAATATATCCCCCGAGGCCGGCCTGGTCTGTTTGAGTCTGTCAGGTCGTAGCCGTGTGCTCTCTGTCATCCGTGGGCTGCTGGTCTCCCTGAATCTCAGTGACTTGTTGGTCTCGCTGAGTCTGGATTGGGTCCTTTGGCCGTCTGGCTGTGAGCGGTATGACAGAGCTGTACCAGCACGCTGACCATAAGGACTTGGGGATAAGTGGCCACCAGTTGCTAACTGATTCAGTTCTGCTGATGTGAAGCTCTGACATACATGTACAGATGTAAACCAAACAGAAAGTCTGAGATCTACACAATATGCATCCCTCAATCAATAAATGAACATAATATGACTGACACTCGCATGCATGCTGCACCAGAGTAGAAAATCCAAATAAAGTGTTCATTTTGATCAACAACTGTCAGAAGAAGTGGTATTAGTGTGTTTAAGCAAATCTGAAGGATCTTCCTTTCTATTTAGTACTTGACCTATGACTACTTTCTGCATTAAGATATGCTGTGTTTAAGATGATTAAGATTTTCTTGAACTAACAGGGTTACGGTAAATTTATTGCTATGAGTCACATTCACTAGCATGTACTGCCATCTCTGATTCATCCGGTGCAGATAACAGTAGATATCATGAAAACAGGATGTGTAATCTTATCAAGTCGGTTTTGGGCAGCCCCGTCAGACATACGCACTAGCAGCCAATTCTTGGCCGCTGTGGAAGGCAGCACTAAAACAAGAACTCAGCGACAAAAAAACCAACATGAGTTCCAACATGTACATGTACATGGCAATGCTTTGAAGAGCTGGCATTCTGAGATGACTCACCTGGTCCAAGACCTGTCTGGTGGGGGAGCCTTGCCGAGCTGACCCTGGCCGTGGTGTTGCCCTCGAGCTCGGTCTTGAGGAGGCTGGGGAGGCACTCTTCAGGGATTTCATCATTGCATCCCGCCGCATCTGGTCACGTTCTGTCGACAGTTTAGCCAAACTTAAATGACCCATCATCTCAAAATGAGGCTGAGGTTTTCTGGGAAAGCTTCTCAGATATGCCTTTATTTACTTGTATTTGGCATTTTGCACTGAGTTAAGCATAAGCTCACTTCTAGAAAGGCAATTTTTTTGTGAAGTTAATATACAGGACTAGCAGTCATCTGGAATAAAATAACAAACAACAGAACTATCCCAGAATTACTTTTTACTGAAAGATGTGTTGACATGAAATAACTAAATGCCTCTTCACATAAGCCAACAGGAAACTACATGTACAGTATATAGTTTCCATAACATTTATGAAAGTATACAGAAACAAGCTGATTTTTTCACAGAGTATGAGAATACATGTACTTCCACTTTTTTTCTAATTTCAGTAATATCCATGAGAGCACTGAACATTTCTCTTAAGGACTAACAAGAAGTAGGAATGCACTTACTTTTAACACTCAGAGTCATGGACTTGGGTGGAGATGCATCAATGCAGGCTGGAAGAGAAACAAACAAGTTTGTAAAGATAACAGCCATTTTAGAAGTTTTTAAAACAGGATCACTCTTTCACATTTGGTATCTGTGTCTACCACACAGAGCAACAAATGTTACATCTCAGGTCTTGAGTTCAGAATTCAAGGCAATTTCATCTACTGTAACTTCTAAAAGAATTCTTCCAATGGTATACTTAATGAGATAATAAAATATAATTTACGGGTCCAACATGGATTCGTACCATGCAATTTGTCAGAGGAAGTACCAGTTACTAGACAGCAGTTTGCATTCACTGATAAAATCTACAGGTGAGAAATGATTCCCTTGTAATTTGAGGAAACAAAATGTGTGTTTAACTTTGAAGACTTTGATGTGGTATGGTTTAACAAAGATTTTTTCCCCCTCAAATCGATGTCGATGTGGCATTGCCAATAACGGTGGAAATAAAAACGGCACAAATTGCTGCAGAAGTAAGCATAGCACACGTCCCAACATCTGCATACACGTATCTGATACTCACATTTAGCCTTGTTCAATTTCTTGTAATGGGAATTCAACTGGTCCTGGACAAGCCCTTGATTGCTGAGTCTGGTGCATGTTGTTGCAAATGCTACAGAAAAATAAACAGAAGTACTGTATGTACATGTGTATGCACATTGACTAAGTAGTCAATGCAACTGAAGTCAGAGCAAAGGATTTGTCATAGTTTAAATTCAAGAAAAACTTTCTGTTACAATTGTTGCTTTGGAATATGAATGGCTCTACGTTAAGTCTGAAAAACGTTTCAGAATTAGGGGTTGGCAAAGATTTTCCAACCAAGAATATTATATACCCCCCTAACTTCAAATCAGAGCCAACTGTGTGTTCAAATGATGTACAAATCAGACCCAACTGTGTGTTCAAATGATGTACAAATCAGACCCAACTGTGTGTTCAAATGATGTACATGTACATGTGACTTAAAAACCTGTACATGTACAAGTACCTGCCGTGTAAGTTCTTGCAGAATTTTCTTTTTCCCCCCAATCTTCAGCCTTTTGAGTATAAGCAGAAAGCTTCAGCCAGTATGTTCAAATGTGGAAAGGTCCTCATAACTAACAATGGGGTATGAAGATGAGTTTTCAACTCATTTTTATTACGGCTTTTATTCTGCTTCTCTGCTGTTGCACTAAAGCACACAAGACATTCTCCATCCAAACAAGAAGACAGGTTCCTGAAAGGTCACTGACCTCATACTGAATGTGAGGCAATGAAATTTGAGGGGAGAGTGCTGCCATTTTTTTTTTAGAAGACAAGAACTTCATACTTACGGCCACTTTTAAGTGAAACATGTCCCTTCAGTGGACCAGTCAAATTGCTGTTCGGCTGTGGCAGCCTATGTTCTGCATAGGAGGGAGGAAATCATGTTCAAATCTTAAACTCAGGAGCTGACCGCAGTCTCTTTCAGATGGTACATGTACACTACATTTAGCAACAACCCATTACTGTAATAACAGCTTGGCCTAGTTGAGTGCACTGATCCAAACAATGCTGAGTGCTCCATCAATTAACTTACTAATGCACAATATACTGTACATGTACATCTAGATTTACTGGGAAGACAACCTCGTACACTTGACCTCTAATTAGCTTTCTGTCCAAGAAAATATGTACAAATGTACGTTTATCAGTGAATCTGTGCTTGGAATATCTCTGAAACAGGGTGAGCTAAAATGTTCCAGAACTATAAAGTTTTTACAATATGGAACTTTTGCAACCTGAGGTCACGGTGGATTGAAAACACTGCTAACTTGTCGTAACTTAGCAGTTTTTTTCACTGCAAAAGGTCATAAGGCTCCTGGATGTCATAGAGAGTTGCATCCTCCAATTACTGCATCTACATTTTGTAACTGGAACAGTGCTTCCCTGCAATAAAGGGCATATACATGTATACGTGTACTTTGCCTACTAACCACTTCACCCACAAGCACTTTGCCTACTGTACATCAACGTTTTACAACCTACATTTACGCCATGTGCTAATTAATGTCTATTTACAAGTAGAATAGCCTGCAAGCTACATGTACATGGGCCCTGATTATTTTTATTAGTACATTATCCAACAGATCTCAGCATATGTATGCCACAAATACATGTACAGTGACAATGAAATAATTATGGACTGCTGGAAAAATCTGCATCCTACAGTATTTGAACTCTGATGTGCACATTGATATTTTGAGTGGTATAGTGGTACCATACTTTCCATACGTTACTTTATCTACAGGTACAGTGTATGGATTAAAATGCAGACTTTGTGTTCTTCTTTATCGTGTAACCCATGTACATGTATATGAAAGGGTAAATGTACCTCAAAACCGTGTACCTGGCATCATGATTTTAAATTTGAAGAGGGATACAAGCGTAAGTTTTTGCTGTTTGCACACAGTGTTTGTGGATTCTTGGCATTGCCTGGTTCCCTGCTTCCATTGACATTGTGAATTCGTATTCACAAGATGGAATTCAGATCTTGTGGAATTTTGACTTTTTCCTTTGAAAAATTCCCCAGAGCCACAAATCATGAAACAATAAAGAAAAATCCTGTGTAGTAGGAACCAGGTGAGCTTTGAATGAAGCTTTTTCATGGTGAAGTAGCAAGTTACATGTAGATGTAGACGGGTGCGGTAGCACCATGCAAGGATATCTCTTTTATGAGTACATGGACATGTATTTGTGGTTCTGAATTAAGAAACAAATTTGCTGAACCCTCCAGTTCTTTGCAGAACCACTCATACTCGTACAAGAGATATCCTTGAATGGTGTTATCGCAAACCTCTATGACTACATGTAACTTATAGAAGGAGCCAATGCTAAAAATATAAAAGCATAACAGTGAGACTTTTTTGGGGTGGAAACAAATTCCCAAATGCCCGCAATAGCTGGGCAAGCCATTGAACCTATTGAACATGATGAACTCAGGTCTCAAAATCTCCAGCACACACTATAACCATTACACCATGTGCTGTCTCGGTTTCAGAGGACAAATTTTGTGATCATATAGCGTCAGTTACAAAAAGAACAAGAAGCAACGGATGCTGGAAAAATTGAAATTATAAATGTAGATGTAAGGCCCTAACGTTACACTTCAAAATAAAACAGGATGATGTTAGTTGTGGGTGATGTGGTAAAAGCAAGTCTGGTCCAAGCCATATCTGGCTCATCAGGCCTGTGTTTATCTCCGGTTTCCTTGGCATGAAACAACTGAGAATATTTCTATTCCCCCCTGGATGGGATACCAGTCCATCGCAGGTTGCTTCCCCAGCTAATGCTGGTGCCCATTTATACTTCTGGGTGGAGAGAGGCAAACAGGAGTGAAGAGGCTTGCCAAGGGCCACAACATACTGCCAGCAACTGGATTCGAACCAGGTGATGTGGGTGATGTAGTAAATCAAGGGCGAAATGATTGAAATTCCAATGTTGGGCCCTTAACCCTTGGAATTGTTTGGATTAGTCCCATAGGCCTACTAGTAATAAGCCTACACGTAAGGCTGATTAAAATTAATTCCTTATATTTATCATCACTCAAAGTAATAGTTTTGGGCTGGGACGACCTTTGACATTTGATATTTCATGTTAGTATTTTCCAGAGTTTTCAGATAACCTACATGTACAACTTATACCTTCCTTAAAGGCCCTACAGTACTTTAATGTTTAACAAGCAGACACTTGAGACCGGACTTGGGCTTCAATTTCTGCCCTTGTTTGGTCATCACCACCGCCTCAAGCCTGTATTTTGCAAACACCCATGTGCGTACATGTACTGTACATATGTACAGTTGTATGTATTGACACACGAACAGTGTGTGATTGACGGTACAGGGCCCGACTCAATCGCTCATGGTTAAAAAAGGGCAAGGCTAGAGAATTAACAAAAAACAAGACCATTTTTGTAGTTCAGACGGATCTAAAAGGTTGAAAAGGACCAGAAATTTGTTAAAAAGTTGGGAATATTAAATAATTAAAAAAAGTCAGGCATTAGGGAAAATCCCATTGGGCTGTAAAGATAAACAAATGAATTAATTTTTTTAAATTGGCATACCTAAGATTTGTGTATGGGGTCTGAGTGAGGGTGCCATATCATCACCGTTCTCACTAAGTGACGCTAATGTGGCTTTTAAGGAAAAACAAGTTTTCAAGATAATTGCCAGAGAGGTTTTTCCTTTAAAGAACTACCAAAATAAGTATTTTGTGACCACTTCATGTAATAAAAATTCCTTACATGATTCTTTGATGTGTAATTGTTCACTTAACCTGAGTAATTAGTACAAAAACGGGTTAATTAGCAAAAAATAAATCAGCAAAGCTTAATGTCACTTAAAGTGAAAATTACGTTTTTGTACATGAACATCTTTCCGTTCAACATATAATTCACAGGGAAGCACATGGTGATCGTGTCTTTACGCACGCACAACTGTGAATGTAACAAAGCTTGCGCCACTTCATGAATATGAAAATCTCAGTTGACCTACTTTTCAGCCTTTCCGTGCAATACATTTTGTACATCTTCGAAGGGCATTAAACATTGAGTTTCTTTGTGAAAATGCAAAATGCTGTTTTTAAGATTTTTGCCCTTGGCAACATTAATGTAACCGTGACATTAATGTTTTGTTTGTGGGAGCATGTCAAATTGGTTAAGCACAATACTGTAAAAGAGAATATTGAAAAAAATGGAAATCAACCAAAAATCACTTTTTTAACATTTGCCTCACTTTACTTGTGAAAATGGTGATGATACATGTATGTGACCAGCTCTGCAAAAAAGGATAAGTAGCTCAATGCCAAAACACGTAATGGCCTGTTCTATTTCAAGAGGGCAAAATTTCTTCAAAAACATGATTGTTTTTTCCTTTAATAGCTTCTATATTTGCAGAATTTGTGACTAAACGGAGCCTGATGAATAAAGATGAAAATTTATCATTCTGTAGGAAATACTATATAGTACTGTGTTTCCACTTTCAAACCACTTCACTTTGAGCTTTTTGTCGAAAAGTGCTTTTAAGTTTTATTGAATCAAATACAAATCTAAGCCTAGGCCTATACACTGTATCTCCGGAAAGCAGTGCATTACAGGGGTCATTCACATATCAAATTGCAACTTTTGTAGAACCTAGCCACATGATAAACTCATAACCTAAATCTGGCGAATTATTACCCATTTTTCTAAAGCCGGTCACACATAATTAGGCCTGCCTAAACTAGTACGTAGTAGTATGCGGCATCCATATCATATGGAATTCTTTCCAAATCCAAGCTGTTTCTGATCATGCTGAATACGAACCAGTCCGCTTTGCATTAGCCATCACTAATCTGCTTATTCATCACAGAAGCAACCATCAGTTCTGCCTATCGTTGACAAACATGATGTGCAATAATCACGCCATGCCAATGCAACGCGTGCTGCTCCAACAAGTTCAAATCTGTCCAACGCATCCTCAATGACTTTCCAAGTTTTACCAACATGTCCAACAACTGAACAAGTCCAGTTCAAACTTTTTTTACATCTTCGAAAGATAATGTCATGCACTGAGGCAGAATAAAAGGAAGATGCATGGTATCAAAACATTCCAACGACAGGATTTATCGAGTTTGAGACGCAAGCCTAGGATAGGAGAAGTTGAATCGCAAGATGAATTCTTCCCACTTCACGCCATTTTTCTCGTTGCCAAAGAATCTGTACACAATCGCACCTGTAGACGGTCACAATGTTACGACTAATCCGATTTGCCGACGTGGTATGTCGACGGGATAATGAGCCAATCAAAGGGATCATTTTATAGCCTCCCCGCTGACCCCCAACAATTGTCTGCCGCCCTCTTCTGGTGGAATGGAGCTCCCAATTTATATATTGTTTTTTCACGGTCGAGTTCGGGCGGCCTGTTCTTGTTCTCGCGCCCCAACGGCGGGAACACGACTCAAGAACACTGTTCTCAGAACAGGATCGCACACCACCTCCTTGTCAGGGTTTTACAGGAACACACGGAAAAACTCGTGAGGTTTTGATTTTTGAACAGCTACAAAAAGTAGAGAGATGGCTTCCAAAGCCATAGACAATGGGAAGTTTTGCAAAATTAACATTAATTATTTTCCGTAGCACCTGTTTATATAGAAAAGAATTCAGCCCATCCAAACAATAACTCTCGAATAACGTAGCCTACATGGACGCCGTAATGTTGCATATATGTTGCTTGCCACTGACTACCAGCGATATAACCGGTTGTTTGTTCCGGCGTTCGAGCGGCCGACCCTCGAGCAACAAATTGAGCTGTTCGTGAACATACAACAAGCCGCCCGAACTCGGCCAGGCCTGTGTCATGTTTCCTGGAATAAGCTCATATTATCCGTACAATCTCTGTTGACTTTGAAATAAAAAAAAAGTTCAGACAAGAAATTAGGACCAGTTGGATTTCATATATCATGATTACTAAAAAAAAATCAACCTTATAACATTTAATAGGCACAGCTCAATGAACTGGGTATACATGCACATGTACATAGAGCTAAATATAACCATTGTGTAACAAAAAAGATACCGACACAGGCCTTTTCCTCTTATGGTTAGATACTTAAACTATACAAAGCTCTGACTCTGAAGGACCTACTTAGTAAGCGTACGGTCTTGGCAGGATCCAACTGGAATAAAACGTAGGGGAACCCCCGGTATCAAGAGAAGTTGGCGCAGTCCGTTCCTCACCTTCCTCAGGCTCTGCGGAGTGATGCGATTCCCAGCTTGGTCCACATATGAATTGGTATTTCCGTCCCTACCTAATTCTGTGGGTTTCCCCAGAATATTCCTCAGGGAGGTGTGCCTCCCACCTCTAAAAAAAACTGTAACTGCTTCTCATTGCCTCCTCTTTACAGGTTTCTTCAGGCTTGCGAGGTACAGTGTCTTGGACGCTTTGAGGAATGTTTGGTGTCATAAATAATAATTATAATAATAAAAGAGAGAATGTCCAAATAAAATTACTTTTATCATTACTTTATTTGGCATCACAAAACTACACATCACAATACAGAGCAATACAATACAAATAACAGTACAATGTGACAAACTAATAACACATGTCACTTAAAAACTGTGACCCGAAAGCATACTCCAATACCATTAGTAAAAAAAAAAAAAATAAATAAATAGCAGTAATATTGTGTGTGCTTACGTGTATATTGATACATGTATAATTTAAAATTCCGTTCCAAGTTGCTGTGCTGAGAGCAAAACACTTTAACAAACTTTTCAAACTGAAGCGCTGATTTTATTTTCTTTAACGGTGAAATTAATTTGCTTCATGGTTAAAGGCTGTGCTTACAAGAATTTTCAGAAATGAAGTACGCGTTCAGCTGCACGTTATACAACCTTGTTTCCGTACATTTAGTTTTGGCATTCCAATTGGCAAATCCTTGTGGGGTGTGGGTAGTAGGTGACTGTCTGAGACAATCTGCAGCAACATCAACCGGGGGGGGGGGACGTTCAGAAATTTTGCCAGTGCAGCGCGGTGCGTGCAGTGACTAGGCAGACGTCTGGAAATAGAATGAGGGCGCTCAAGTCTGCATTACGCTTACGCGTCGCGTAGACATGTAGCGCATATATCATGCACACTCGAATTTGATGAGACGTGATGAACCTGTCCGTTTGGTAAGAGACGCCATATCGATAAACTTTCCCTGTCTGAAACTCGAATTATTAAACATAATTTCACTGACTTTGAAGAATTTGTCTAGGGTTGAGATTTCGCTACATTTTAAGCCTAAGGGCCTTGACAGTAAAGACTCGAGTCGTAGTCGCACTGTTGTATCTAGTATTTGGCCTACCGTACATGTCATACCACGGGCTGTAGTCTTTTACAATCTGTCTCTTACTGTGGTGGTGAAAGATAAGAGACAGATTGTAAAAGAGAGCCACTACAGCCCTATTTGTGGGGCTAGGCCTACCGGTACAAAGTGATACAGGCTACATGTACCTGGGCGCATCCATATTGTGCATGAACCTACGAAACACTCGATATTTTGCACGGCTTTTGTACGGCTATTTGCATGTCTGTGTCTGTATTCTAAAATGATACTTCAATGAAGACGAAACGCAAACAACTTGAACACACAATCAGTAAATGAGCGTTTCATTTTGCTCTTCAGATGAATTTTGCCATGATGTTTTTAAATCGAATTTTATTGGTACTCATGCCACGGCAGCTGCAGCTCCAGAACCATCAACTTACTTAACACTGAATGACTTAAGGAACAACTTTTTAATTGAGGGCATTTGTAAATTTCAGGACCCTGTTCCTATAATAGAATGGAAACTTACTTTTAATCTTTGAAATTCACCTTACTAGATTACACTGTCTAACATGCTGAATAACTGCAGGATTACTTTTGTGGAAAAGGGCAGGATTTTGATTTATGAGGGAAATGCTTGGATAAAAACAACTACAGCAACATCACAGCCCAGTGTGTCAGTGTCGGAAAATCAGGTAAGAAAGTTGCATTTTCTTTTCACATGTCTAAATTGATTGATCTAAATTCACAAAAAATGGCGTCAGCATCATAAGGGGAACATTGCCGGAGGCTGTAGGCCTACTCTTTTGGAGGTCGACTTCTTTTGTACAAACAGGGGGTGTTCCGAAGTTTAAAAATGCCCAATAAAGCTTAACTTATTCATTAAAAGACATGCATATGAAATCTGACGACCTTGTTCAATGTTAGGGAAACGTTTCTTTGAAAATAATGAGGTATGTATTGGTACATGTAAATGAACATGTGTAATTGCTCTGTACGTGTACACCTTACTCAAAAGACGTGCTGAAATTCGGGTTTGCACACACACGGATTCAAAATGTCTGCGCCCAAGATGGTGTCAAATTTTCTCCACACGGAAAATGAGAAGCCACAATGTAGTGTTCTACTAGATGGAATTTCAGGCTATTCATGGTGAAAGACAGGCTTGCGGTAGCACCATGCAAAGGAATATACCCCCTGGTGTCTCTTATGAGTATGTGTGGTTCTGAAAACAACCGGGAGTATACTCCACTAGTGTTATACTACATGTACTGTGGTTACACTTGTGTGACTTCATGGTGAGTCACCTTCATGGCTCGACAGTCAAGTGCAAAAACACATGAGGCTATTTTTTACTGTAATTTTTAAATTTACAACACTTCTCCCATTATTTCTCATTATGTTCCTCCGTTTGACAAGAAACTGCCTGTAAAAGTTTAAGGGCAAGAAATAAAACAGTTTTTCTTCAGGTCAAGCCTCCATCCTGTCCGTGGAGGTTTCTAAATCACATAACATTAGTCAAAAGTCTAAATGCAAACAAGTTGGCAGTCTTCATGTTCATCAAGTTTGTCAAAAAATGTGTCCCAAGATTGTTCCTACATGCACTAGTGAATGCTCATGAGGAAAAGCCGCTATTCCCCATTGGTTGGCTCCTAGCCCATGCGAATGGACGAGCCAATAACCAGATAAAACGATTCAACATAAGTTTTCAGTAGTACCATACACGTACTGTATTTTAGGGGACAGGGGCATTTGATCTAGGTTTGGCTAAGCAAATGATTTGTAATTCATGTTGAGTCATGAAGTGCCTTTTGTGTAGAAACAATGAAAACACGCACATGTAAATAATGAAATTTATTGGCGACAGCTTTCGGGGCACGTACATGTTGTACAGTACATGTACATGTATGTATTTCAATAATGTAATGCCCGAACTGTGTCACTGCCCTAACTACATTTACATGTATGTTCACCACACACTTTGGCATGCTTAAGTTTATGAGCCAAAGGGCATGGGTAAACAATGAGTACGCACGGTGTGAAAGAGAAAAGGAGCAGAGTACATGTAAGTGAAACAATGACTGATTCCAAAAAGAAATGAACTGTGGAAGAGCAGGGAGATGAGATGCAGTGACGTATGAAACAGCAATGAAGTCATGCCAATCATGATGTAAACACGTAAAAACCTTGGAAAAAATGCTAACTTCCCAGCCATGCAATTTTTCTCGATTGTACCCTTTTTTCAAACGTACTGTACGTGTAAAAACCAAAGTTGGGTATGCCCAGCTTTGTCAGCAAAATTGGCCGTGGGCATTTGCAAGGGGCAATTGACACAGTTGTGGTATACAAGTAACAACACAAATGTTTTGGAGATAAATTCTGTTGCCAAGGGAAACGTGTGAATATGTGGTAATTTTGAGTGAACACGTACATAGTGAATCCGCGCAATCCATGTACAGTCAAACTTCGTTAATAAGAGCACTATTAATTCAAGACTCTGCTTATAACAAGGACATTTTGGGGACCTAATCCTTTGTGCTTCATTGTTTTCATTCCTGATAATACAAGGTTCCTGTTATGACAAGGTAATTTACCAGGTGGGAAGGACCTCCAGAGGTCGGAGGGTATGTTTTACGATCTGTCGATTGTACTGCACTGTTGGTCTCGCTGCCATTTGTTGACTTAGTGCCATCAGTTTTACATGTATTGGCTTTTGTTTTTTTCATTCACACCTCTTGATTGTTTTGAAAAGGGACGGAAATTTAGAGATTGCTCCAAATACAGGATTGACAGATAGCACATCACAATCAATAAAGTGGGATCACTGTTGAATTGTTCATTGTCTCCGTTTCTTTGTTTAGAAGATTTGTTTTAAAACAATGAATTTTGGGTTTAAAAGTTTTCAACTTTGTCTCAAAGGTAGAAAGGTTGCTTTCAGTGTTTCAGTGTATTAATCAATATCCTCCCCCCAGTTAGTTTGCACAGATTGTTTTCAGAGGAGGGGAGGCGGAGGGGGTGAATATTTACATACATGTACACTTAAGGAACTTAGCAAAGATAACAAAATTTAATTACAGGTTTTACCCTCAAAAAGTAACACACGTATAAAGCAGAATCTACATGTACAGTATGTGTAGGGCTGAGTCGATTCGAGTAATTCGTTTTTTGAATATTCGACCTTCAGGTTGATTAAATAGACTGTATGGTCGCACCCACCAGCAGATTGTTGATGAAACAGTTGCAGTAATGAACACAATTGTATATTATAATCAATATATTAGCTTCTCACATCTGGGAGTATCTCCAGCCATGATTTAGCAAGATTTAAGAGATAAACAATACTTCTTTCCCTGTTTACTTTCTATTCCTTTTAAATTGTTTAATGCAAAATTTACTTTTTGAATTGTATGATTTCTGTTGCTTTTCATTTGAATCTGCTTGAAACAAGCCTCCTTTTTTTCATTTAAACAAAAGAAAATTCTCCCTTCCTTTTGATGAATTTTGCATTTGAATATTCAGATTCGGAAAATAATACTTGAATAGCGATAATCAATCGAATATTCATCACAGCCCTAGCAGAATCCCCATATGCAACAAGTATGAGACGG